TATGCCACGTGAATTTAATGATACTTCACTACGTCATAGTTAAAAAAAATAGTAATTGACAGTTTGTCATAACTGACAAACTGAGAAAACTACTTACTTAATATGTATGTACATGAAAATTACATTAAACATTAACATTGTCACGTAAAAAGATGTGAACAATTAACGTAAAACAAGGAGGATAGAGGTACGATATTAAAATTTTATGCTGTCGCTTGTTATATACAGGTTATGTTACGCATTATAAATATTTCGGCCATAACCAGTAAATACAAAAGTAGGAAACGATACTAACTTACATACGTCTATAAATGTTGACGTAACAATATAATTGCGTCAACAGTGTGAAGAAACTGAAGAAGCATGTATCCTTAAACAGCGTTTAAAGTATGGAACACTGTGCGCAAAAGACACATCAGTAATTCCATCTTTTTTAATACACTTCACTAAATTTCAACGATGCATAGGAAAACGACTGCACTATAAAATATATGTCATACGATGATTTCTTAAAAATTTACTGAGAATGCAACGGATAAGTTGTCGAAAAATCTTGCCCCACGTATGTATATGCGCTCACTGTTTTTGACGTGCGACACATCTATACTGGTGCTGCCATCGAAGAAATGGCTAAATTAAATTTTGCATATAAACCATTTTTCCTTTTACATACGTACTATGTACGTATATCTTTCTTCGTACGTATATCTATCTTATAAACATGTACAACTTTTGTCTCTCGACAAATAATTTTATATTACAGTTCCTGTTTATAACAGCAAAAGCTTTGCCTTGGTGTTAATTAAACAATATGAAACAAGGTTTTGAGAATAAACCCTATGTTACACCAAATATTATCTATAATTTACAGAAATAATTATAGACAAAAAATTATCACAATGTAACGTGTCAACGTAATACATACGTGTATTATAAGCCGCAACAATATTACCAATAGAAGTATGCCATTTCCTTAGGAACAATAAAAATTTCTCGGCTAAATGAAATTTCCCGGTAGAGAACAGTAGTCTGCTAGAGTTCAGCGATTCTCATTATGTAGAAATGTTTCATGTAAAACTATTTTATACGTGTAACTTAATTTTCGTATCGATTTATTTCATATTTCATCTTTAAATTGTATACGAATATCGCTATATATGTTACGTCAGTCTCGAGAAACTAAACATAACATGATAAAGCCGTGCAAATGTTGATATGCACGTAAGTACATGTGTATGTATACATATACTATAGAAACCCATAGATCAAGGAACAGTTATGCAAATGCAACGGTAACACGTGACCATCAGTGACTCTTAATCTTTAATAATTAAATATTATTTCTTGCAAGACTACGATTAATTATTGTAATATTTGTTAATAAAAGGTATCGAAGATTGTTTCAGCTCGATTTACAATTGAATTATCATTCTGATTAATCATACGTTTGCAACAAGATTTTCCGACGAGTCTTTCCATTAAAACCGTGCTCTTAGCGTTACATAAAGATTATGCATTGAGCATCACTGACGTGCATGAAGCAATGTCACGTGTATGCACTTACTTACAGTAGTTCAGTAAGTATGTTGATCCGACATAATCAGTATACCGTCAGTCAGTCGCGCGTGTTCCACGCCGTTATGTTTGTAGCGGTGTGTTTTCCAAATATTTCTTATTTTTTAATGAAAATACACAAATGTCAATAATTGTTTGCGTTACAACATACGCGCATATTAAAGACAAATCGTGTTAGCTTAGAAATGTCTATAAATGATCGAGAGTTCCTTCATTTTACTATGAATCAATTCTCCTATTGTTTGACCACAAGCGAAGTATATACATATCTATATACCTCGTCTGTGATGCAGTTATAAAATCCTGTGCCTCATTTGCAATCATACGATATCCTGTACCATACTTATAATTTCATAGGTACGTTTAATTTTAAGTGCAATCACTGCTATATAATATTGTCATCTTATTGTACACTGAATCGGTAACGTTGGAAGTGACACGAAAATACATTCGGTCTATCCGTCTGTGACCTGACGTACCAAGAATTAATGGTAAGTTACTTTAAAATACGCGTCATTTATATCGTTCGAATAGTGAATTTCGAGAAATATTGTGTTTTGTTCATTTACCGACACGTTCGTTCTATAATTGAAATAGTTGTCAAACTTGTTGAATTTATTGGTTACTGTGAACTCGCGAGAAATCTAAATAGGCCTGTCAGTACGCGTCGCGTTAACTCGATTATACTTTCTTCGTAAAACATCTACTTTAGATCGCTTCCCGGTCTTTTTTCCTTCGTAATTGCTTCTTTATTTTCTAAAAAAATTAATAACCGTAGCAGTAAATTTCCACTCAAATTGTTTTCCTTTTGCTTTTGTCAATAGACGCACTTTTAACGATAATTGTAACGATAATATTCTTCTATTCGTTAAATGTGTCAATCTTCTTCATCCTGTATATCATTCGAAATTTTCCATAAAGTATACTTGATTTTATAAACAACAATACAAGTCATGTAACATGATTTAGTACAATGTAATTCACGTACATACACGTATGTGTATATCTTTTTTTATTTGTAGCATATTATCACTCTATTATCACTATTCTCTTGAACATATTTCACAAAAATATTATTGCTTTATAAAATTTGAAAATGCAATAAGAATAGAAGTTTGTGTTAAAGGTGCAAGTTCTTGTAACACGGTAAATATTAAGTGTTGCGCAGTAATTGTTATTAATGGCTGTTAGTGTTGCCTTTTTGAATAAATTTCCCAAATATTGTTCAAAAAGATATCTGACTTTATTGTATCATTATTATCAGTATTAATCTACAAAGATATTAGATATAAAGATTATCACCATCAAGATCAATTGTGCAATTTATAGCATATATAAATATGATAAAATACCAACAATATGTTAAATTATTTTCTTCTGTGCTTTTGTTTTCCTCTGTTGTAGCCTCTGTTTTTCCAAATGAGTTTGTAAAATGTAATTTCATTGTGAAACTAGAGAAATAATGACCTAAAATTAAAGGAGCACACTTGAGAAATCTGTCTTGAGGAATAACTTTCACCTCTAATAATCAACATATCTGGTGCATAAAGGGATCATCTTACAAAATATATGATTTCTATGCAGAATATTTATTGAGTGTGAGGATATTTTATTTTTATTGGCATATGTCATGAATAGGTAAGATGTTAATACAACCAATAATAATATACAGTATCATCTTTTTCAAGTGTACTTCAAATATTAATTCAATATGTCGGACATTGAAGAAGATGAGGTACGCATAAAAGTGTAATGTTAAAAACAAAGTTATTTACCACAGATGTTAATTATAAACGACTTAATGTAATTGTGATTTCTATGATATTTAGTTTCAAGATGCTCAAGACGCTCAAGATGATCAAGATGCTCAAGATGCCCGAAATGCTCAAGAAACCATACCGCAGTAAGAACAAATTTTTTTGATACATACAAACGGCTACATGTTATATCTTACCATATAATTATGTTTCATTTCAAGGCATACTTCTATGGATCTGGATACAGCAATAATGGATGCAAAGAAAGCAACATATTATTTTTTTAATAATGATTTCGAATCAGCAAGGAAAATTATGGAGCCTTGGGCAAGCAGTAGCATGTACCATTCTTTGGGAACGAGCGTATTCGCAAGCATCGAGGCTTTCCTTACCTTTGACCAAGTAAGTAAATTTTAATATTTGGAACATGTGTGTATTTCAATAATACATTGTAATATGTATTGCTTAGAAATTCATTGACAAGGCAGCTGGACTTATAAAGCAATGCATGAGCGTATGCTCGAAACAGCGTAAACATGTCACACTAACGCAAAATATTGGCAAAATGGTGAAGAAGACTAATTACGATGATTATACAACTGGTAATGTATAAAGATATATCAACGTGATATCGCATGTTTAGTCAAATTGTTCATATCGCTTCTTGTATATATATATTGCATCTCCTAAATAAATAGGTTCCAGAAAAGCATGCAACATCATAATACATATAAAGCAATTTCTAGACTAACAAGTAATTTCTCACCGATTGAAAGCTTACTACAAATTACCGGAATAAGTCTTACATTTTTTTCCTTCGAAATAAATGGGTCTAATCAAACTATCATCAAAGGTGCAAGAACTATTAGGGCAATTTGCTTTGACTGCACATCACTCTGAACAGTTCAGTATTAACAGAGTGTTGTCGATTTGATTGAAAATTTCCGTGAATTTATTTACCAAAGAAATTTCCCATTTCTAGTGATCAAATGATCGACATATTATAACACGTTGTACCGGTGCTATTAGTAAGTATAAAGCATGCAAGGAATAATCGAGATTTAATATTGCAGAGGAGGTGCATGCAGAACTCTGTTATGCCGAGTCACTCCTTTTAAGAGCGTTGCTCACGTTTGTGGAGTATGAGAGTTTCGTCAGCTTTGTCAAGGGTGGATTGAAAATTCGTACCTGCTTTCTATCGTACAAGTAAACAAATAATACCGTGAATTATCTATTTTGATATTATATTGAAATGTTTACGACATGTCATTTTATGTACATTGTCCTTTTCTAGGGAATGTATGACAATTTTAAATAGTCGTAAGTGGGAAAGTCAAGAGCATAAAATACATTTTGAAAGCGGTGTTCGCACGGGCATTGGTGCATTTAATTTGGTATATACAAGCATATTTTTGTAGCATAAAATCATTTGTGTAATACAATGATAACAATCTTCTTCTTTTATTTTCCTTTTTACAATATTGTAGATGATCTCGCTATTGCCACCAAAAATAATTAAACTGTTAGAATTCGTTGGATTTTCGGGGGATAAGGTAATAAAATAATATTCTTCTGTAAAAGATGCATTTGAAAACTACAGTTTGCCATGACGTAAGATCGTTTTGTATCAACAGGAGTATGGGTTGTCAGAATTAGAAGCAGGGTATGGCGAAAGAAGAGGATTACGACACGTGTTGTGTGCAATATTTCTTTTATCTTATAACTTATTAATATCGTTCACTCTGGGTCATCACGACGGTGATCTAGACTGGTGCGAAAAAGCTTTGGAAAAAGAACTAAGTCATTGTCCAAACGGTGTATTGTTTTTATTTTTCAAGGGGAGATATGAATTAACAAGAGGGAATTTTGAGAATGCTATAGACTGGTACATCAAGTCTTGGAAAAGCCAGGATTTATGGCCTGAATTTCATGACATTTGTTATTGGGAACTAATGTGGTCGCATTGTTCGCTACAGCAATGGGACGAAGCTGCGACGTTTGCTCATACTTTAATGAAGAACTCAAATTGGTCACGTACTATTTACGTGTATAACAAAGCTGCAATACTACTTATGCAAAAACCACCGCCACAAAAGGAAGACATAGATACACTAATGATGGTAGTGCCTTACTATAAACAACGTATCGCGGGAAAGTCATTACCCATGGAAAAGTTTGCAATTAAAAAAGCAGAACGTTATTTTAGTCAAAAGAAAAATCTCGTCCTTCCTATGTTTGAACTTATGTATCTGTGGAATTTATTTCGCGCACTGGGCAAACGGCAAGATTTAATAATGAGTATATTCAAAGTAATCGAAGGAACTGAAAAGGAACTTGCAAACAAATCGTAAGCTTTTCCCCATTGATTCCATTCTCGGCCCTACTCGAAGCATTCATTAATTTGTCGGTAATATTAAAAAAATTTGAAATATTTCGTAGGAAAGCTGAATTTCACGCGGATAATGAGGCGCTCTTGTTGCTTCTGAAGGGCGCTTGTTTACGGCAAATGAAACATCCTTTGTTAGCCGAAAATTGTTTGAAACGCATCCTCGAGATGGACAAATTGATCAAGGAAGACACCTATTTACTTCCTTATGCAACAGTAGAATTAGCTTTGTTAGCACAAGATCAAGGAAATATTCAACTTGCTATCGAACTTTTAGAGGACGCTAAGTAAGTGTACTAAATTTCGTTCAGACAGATTTGTTCATATCAATTATTCATATTATCGGTATCGATCGGTAATTAATCGTTGCTTGTTGCAGAAAGAATTTTTCTGGATACCTGCTAGAATCCAGGTTGCAATTTAGAATTCATTCCGATTTGATGCAATTGACTGGAAAGAGAGCCGAAGATATTTTAGAATAATAGTATCTGAAAAATGTGTTTTCTGTAAGAACAATTCATTGCTGTCAATAGCATTGCTATTGCTGATTCGGGCATTGTTAATTTTTGTTAACAGTTTTTTATTATGTACCAAGTTATTACATAATTCTTAATCCATTTTCTAGAACGGTTCGTCACTTCTGATATTAATAAATTGTGAAACAAATGGAATATAAAAATGGGTAGAACGGAAATAAATAGTAATTTATCTCCGATTAAACTTGTTCCAATCACATCTGATTCGTGATTCTGCCGATTTCCCTTCGTTTTATTCTTTCCCCGTCGTACTGTGCTACACTTATTAAACCTGTTATCCGAATCATGTACATATATACAGAAGTGTTTCGTTCGCGCGTATATTCATACGTCATACGCATGCGATTACGCACGAAAGCGCATATCTAAGATGATGCTTTCGTTTTCCTTATCGTCTTTACACGATATTTCTCCATGAGTTTTTCATTAATTACGTTAATTATACCGCTGTCTTGTCATTTCTATCCTTTGAAAATCCTTTGGAGCTGTCAGGAAAAATATACATACAGTACGTGAGTACAGGTTACGGCGAATAAATAACGTGCTGCTGCGCGCGCGTGTATGCGCGGAGTGTGCGTATAATACCTACTTACTTCCGACATAATATGTTTGTGTTTGTAGGTAACATTCGGTGAGGTGTTTCTACTTGGAACGAGTACGCGCGATTTTATTTAGTAAGATTTGGAAAATTATCAATAATAAGTATAATTGAAGGTTCTAAAAAAAAGAAAAAATGAAGATTTGAGGAATAAAAGTATTGTATAAGATTAAAATGCGTTTAATCTCTACTTTTATATCGTCTAAGGTATGATCTAACCTGTCGTGTCATTCCCTTAAGCCGGCTTTGTCGAATTACCATGTATAAATAACAGAATAAATTATACATTATCCGAATTTCTTTTTTATTTTGTATACGTCTCGAAATTAATTGAATTCATTCGATGTAAGTGATTAATTGTGAGAAAATTATTGGTCAATGTGACCTAAGTTGTATATATGTACGCAATACAGTCGTTAGAAACGTTATCGTGGGTAGAATAAAACTTGTAGCATCTTTCGTTGTCTAACTTTTCGCTTCTCTGAACATTACAATTTCTCCTTTCTCTACTCTCTTATTTGTAACTGTATTAATTGCAGAAAAATTGTAATTTTGAAGGGTTAAAACAGCTAGTAATGTTAAGAAAGACTTCTGCTAGCATTAGTATAATAACTATTCACCAGGGATATGTGTTCAAGTAAGTATATCACATGAAACAAACAGGAATGATAAGAATAAAAATTTAAGAACAAGATATTTCATACACAGAGGATAAAGAGTGAAAAAGGAGCCAAGATTATTACAATGAGCACAATGGCATTAGACGTACAATGTTCTCTAAGAGAAGCCCTGTACGAAACACTGACCGGTATTCTGTCTCCTCATAGAGAGACACGTCAAGCAGCTGAACAGAGGATTCAAGCGTTGGAAGTTACAGAAGAATTTGGCATACATTTAACAGAATTTGTAGTAGATCAGAATGGACATTTACCTATCAGGCAATTAGCTTCTGTATTGTTAAAGCAATATGTACAGACACATTGGTCTTCCGTGGCTGAAAAATTTCGCCCTCCTGAAATAAAGCGTGCGATAAAGGAGAGAATCAAAGAATTACTGCCATTAGGACTTCGTGAATCTATTAGTAAGGTAATTAATTTCTATAATTACGCATGTGTACATTAGCAACCGTAAAAGTGTTGTTTTTATCATGTCGCTAATTTCAGGTACGTACAGCAGTAGCTTACGCGATATCGGCGATCGCACATTGGGACTGGCCGGAAAATTGGCCAGGCCTGTTCGATATACTTGTGAATTGCTTAAGCGGTGAAAGCGAGTATGCCGTTCACGGAGCAATGAGAGTTTTAACAGAATTTACCTCCGACCTTACCGATATTCAGTTACCTAACGTGGGACCAGTAATTCTTCAAGAAATGTATAGAATATTTCAAAGCGAAAACGTAAATTGTTCATTGTTTTTCTCCTGAAGCATTAATAGGTTCGCTAATAGGAGCAACAGTAACGTCGGCTGATATTTTTTCAGCAATATTCTGTTCGAACCCGTGGCCGTGCAGTTGAAATTTTTACGTCAATTACGACATTAGTCGCCGTTACAGGAATGTATCAAAAAGGATTTACGGAGCAATACTTACAGCCGGTGATACCCATGTTTTGCGAGAAATTTGTTCAATGTTTACGAGCACCCGATGGGCCCACTAACGGTAGCGGGCTTAAAACTGACGTGATCAAAGCAATAAATTGCCTAGTTAGCAATTTACCTAAACACGTAAGAAGCTTTTTACCTCAGATGCTGCCACCCGTTTGGGAAACTTTAACGCAAAGTGCAAAAATTTATCAAGAAAGTTACGTGAACGGAGATGGAGATACGAACGACAAAGAGGTTGATTCAGACGGTAAATATGATGCAGATCAAAATTCGATTTCCATCAATCGATTCAATGCATCTGTCCCTTTGTAGGTGAAATAATTAACTTTAATAATTTGATCATCGCAATATTCGAGTTTGTTCACTCTATAGTGGATCGTAAACGATTTTCAAATCTTCTGGATAATTTGCTGCAAGAAGTGATGTATTATTTAGTAATCTTTATGCAAATAACAGACGATCAAATCGAATTATGGACGACTAATCCTAAACAATTCGTGGAAGAAGACGATGTATTCGCTTACAATGTTCGTATTTCCGCGCAGGAACTCTTAACAGTAAGTATAGTTGTATTATTAGTGGCAATAATTAACAGTACCAGCGGAAGAAGATTGAAATTGGATCGAATTTCTCTATCGCGGATTTGTTCGTGTGCACAGGCTCTAGTAAATTATTCGGAAGAAAAGGCGGTGAACGCGCTTTACGAAGTGGTGACGCGCCATATCGAAGCGACGAGTAGATTGCAAAGTGGAAACAGCGGAGGCGAGAACAACGGAACATGGTGGAAATTACGGGAATCGTCTATTTTGGCGTTGAGCAAAATAAAGGACGCTGTGGTGGGAAAGCAAGAGGCTGGAGTGCTTCGGTTCGATATCGTTCGATTTTTGGACACGATCGTTTTAGCTACCCTAAAAGATCCAGGTATTCGATGTTATTTCGTTTGCAGAAGAAAAAAAAACATCTGCAGAGTAAAAAAAAGAATACGTTTCTTTCTCGTTGGATTTTTCTGATTTTCAATTGGTTTGTTATTTTCACGCAACGCCGGGAACCATGGTTAGGGGCACCGCCGTTACTTCTCGGTCGATGTTTGTGCGTCGGTGGAAAGTACGCGGAGGTAATGCCACCAGAAATGAGTTCCCGTTTCCTGGAAGCAACGGTGAATGGGCTACAGGAGAATCAACTTTCGTGTATTCGTATCAGTGCCGTGAAGGCCATTTATTGGTTTTGCAAAGCGTCAACGGCGGAAAATAACAGCAGTCTCGGCGATATAATACGATCTCACTTGGCAAATATATTTCAAGGATTGTTCAATCTAGCCAATCAACCATCCACGGAAATTTTAACTTTAACGATGGAAACGCTGCAGGTGTTGGTTACGGTAATGTTCGCGAGCCGTCATCTTTCTCACGATCATCATCATCATCATCATTATCATCTCTATCCGTGGTTTTCCGTTTAATCGAGTCTTTGTTGCACGTTCGCAGTTGGACAAAGCGTTCACCGCTTCGATAGAGAACAAAGTTTGCCCGTTAACCATCGCCGTATTCTTGAAGTTCTACAGCGATCCAGAGATCTTGGAGTTATGCCAGGACATATTCAAAAGTCTGTCCGAAAATCCGGATTGTATAGGACCGTTGCAGACTCGTTTGATACCGACGTTAACGAGCATGATGGCTGTGACGCCTATGGATAAATCGAGAAACGGTAAGGTGGAACGAAATGGATGATTCTAAGCAGAATCTGTTAATTGCGTCCTCGTTGAATAGAGAGATGTCGAGGCGTGGCTCTGGATGTTTTGCAAGTATTGGTACAATACTCGCCGAGACCTTTGAGCAGCGCGTTAGTCGAAACCGCGTTTCCTGCTGCGTGCCATTGCATCTTGAATTCGGAGGACAACGAAACGTTGCAAAACGGTGGCGAAGTAATACGCACTTACCTAGGAGTTGCGGCTCGCCAAGTGACGGTACATCGAGACAACGACGGTCAAACGGGTTTACAGTACATACTGCAGATCGTGGCTCAGCTGTTGAATCCGCAGGTAAAGTGACGTTACGAGAAGGTCTTGTACAAACTGTTCTACAATAGATGAAATAAACGGGGTGGTTTTTTAAACGTATTAACGTATTTAACGCATTTGTAGTCGAGCGAGTTTACAGCGTCGTTCGTGGGGCGATTGGTGACAACGTTAATTAGGAAAGCGGGTAACACCTTGGGGGAAAATCTGGACCTGTTACTGAAGGCAGTGTTGAGTAAAATGCAGCGAGCCGAGACGTTGACCGTGGTACAGAGTTTGCTCATGATATACGCTCATCTGATAAACACAGAGTTTGACGCTGTCCTAAATTTTCTGTCAACCGTACCCGGTCCGACAGGACAGAGTGCTCTCGCTTTCGTGCTCACCGAATGGGTCAGCAGGCAACACCTGTTCTTCGGTAGATACGACCGAAAGGTGGCAACGGTTGCCCTATGCAAGATTTTGGAGTACGGCGTTACTCACGGCGACAGTCGTTTGAACGAGATCACCGTCAAGGGAGACCAAATATTTTCAGGTTTGTATTTACACACGATACGACGTGTAACACGTCTCTCTCTACGATATTACGTACAAGTATAATTCGACGAACGCAAAGGAAAAGTGGTTTTCTTTGTTCTTTTTATTTGAATCGGTACACAAGATATCGATAAAGTTGAACGTATTCGAGAAAAGAAAGAAAGTGGCTAACTAAAATTGGAGAATACGCAGGAAACGAAGAAGGTGTGAGGACTAGGAGTAAAGCCGAATCACAGCCTTATCAGTGGACCACGATACCTGTTCTGGTCAAGATATTCAAGCTGATAATCAACGAATTATCCAACGACATCGAAGCGGTCGCCGCGAATCAGGACACGGACGTTAGTATCGGTGTCTCGAACATTTTTCACCCTCTTTTCGAAACGAATCGAAATAATTGGATGGTTAATGTTAACGCGCAGGATTCCGCTACCGCCGGCGCCGGC